CCTGCTCCCGCCCCCGCGCCCTCCGCCTCCGTCTCCCAGCCCCCGGCCACTGCCCTCCACCCGCGCCCGCCCCGCCCTCCGTCCGTCGTGCACGAGGTGCTCGACGGTATGCCCGCAATGACAACGTCGTTCATGGGGAATATTCCGTTATAAAGGTTGGGTTTGAGGGTTCTAATCTTTGCCCCTGTTTTTCAACCCGTTAAAGTGCACAAAAAGACCATTTTTGGACCCTTAAAACGCTAGTAAGGGCTTGAGGGTTCTACTAGACATGCTCTAAGTATGTAGTTGAAACTTTGGCCATAGCCATAGCACAGTCGAGAAGCTAAGGCACCGCCCTTGAACAAGCTCAATCACACGCGGGTCCTTGTGGTCGCTTGGGTGTGCGATATATCATCGAGTCGGTGGACCTTGTCCGCTAATGAGAGTCCATTGTTGTGTGAGGTGCCACACATGGCTGTCATTTTTTTATAAAGGACATTTCATTCAATTGATATATCGAGATTATACAACCGTATCGAAAGAATGCCCGATCTTCGCATAGCGCGATGCACATAGCCAACAAATTCAACATAACCAAAAATAAACATAGTTTTATAGCAAAAATAAATCAGTGCAGCCTAAGGTGTGGCATATCCTATACGGAGATTAGAGCATCTCCAGCCGCGCCCCCAATAGGCCCCCAAGGCCCTTTTTTATCACGGGCGTGAAAAAACAGCCCAGTCGCGCCCTGAGAAGCCCAATTTTCACTGATTAGGGGCGGATTTGGCGCCGGCAGATCCAGGTCAAACTCGACGCGCTGGGGGTCGCCCGGGGGGTGCCGGGGGAAACAGTTTTGGCGTGAAAGCCCGGCGGGCCCGCCGAGTCAGTGACTAGACGTGTTCGTCGTCCTCATCACCCCGGTTTCCCGCGGGGAATCGATGCCAATGCTTCTGCACTGCCTCGCCGGTCAGCCTTCCATTGATGCCTCATGGGCGGCGCAGTGAAGGCACGACGCGTGTCCCGCGCACTCCCGTCACGTGTACACACAGAGGCCGCCCTCTTGCCGCCCACCCGCGGCTATAAACGCCGCGCCTCCCTCGCCGGTGAACGTACACTCCTTCGCATCAGAACCCTCTCCCCTCTTGACCTCTCACCGCCGACGCATGTCTCTCCTCTCTCCCCCGCCAACGACCATGGCCAAGCATTACCCAGGCGATGGTGCGGCGGCCAACGGCTTCGGCTGCCGCCACCTGCACGAGGACAAGGCACGCCTCCTCTACGGGGCCGACTACCCGGCTCCGCTGGACATGCGGGTGCCGGGCTCGTAGAGGCTGAGCGCCGGCGGCGTCCCAGTCCCTCCAGCGCCCACCGACGCTAATCGCCGCGTGGAGATCGCGTGCATCTGACCGTCGCTGCCAGAGCAGGCGCAGAACTAGCCGAGGTACGCCCCCGATAGCAACACACTATGGACGGCATACTTCGACCGCCGCCACGAGGAGCAGCTCGCATCCACCAACGGCGTCGAGCCACGCGGCCGCCTCAACTCCGTGGGGTGGCGCCAATGGTGGGGTGTCCCCGGCCGCACCCTCGAAGCCGTCCTCAAGCACATCGAGGCCGACAACACACCGCACTTGGAGTACCTAGCGCCCCCTCCTTCTCTCGTTGCCGCGGAAGCTCCTGGACGCTGTGGTGAATGGAGACGGCGACCTCCTCGTTGTCGGGCTCCCTACCCTCCGGATCGCCGACGCTCCGCCCCGTCAAGC